AAATACGTATTTTACATTTTTCAACTGAGACAAATTCTCAGTCTCGCAAGCCAATTCTTCTTTCTCTCGTAAAATCGATCGTCACATCTTCTATTCGTGAATATTTAACTTTCTCGAGTAAAATATATCTTTTCACACACGTACTTAAAAACAAAAGTACTCGAACGAGCAACTCTGCCGTTGCGCGAAATATTTTCTGCCATCGTGGTGAATTTCGTTACGCGTATAGAGAGGATGGAAAGGGATCGAGTGGGCGGAAGAAGCTTGCTTGGTCCCAGAGTGCTCTTCCGGCTTGTCGTAATTAATAAGATCGATCCTTTGCTTCGCAGTTTCATCGCGGCGAGTCCACCTTCCTCTCTCGTCTCGTCGTTTATGGCGAGATCCGCGAATTTCCCACGCCTCCCCCCTCCTCGTCCGAGCCGTGGAAAGGTCAATGGGCCGATGTTCGAACGAGGCTGGGGGAATATAGGGCAGCGCGGGCAGAGGGTGAGACGCGGACACCCCCAACGCGGATCCCGCGTGTACTCAATTCATACATTAATTCCGAGGGTAATCGAGCAGGTGGATCGTGTTTCGAGAGCGATCGAAAACTCTTCTTTAAGTTAATCTGCTCTCCTGCTTTTTTCTTTTTTATTTTCGATTTCTTCCTCCGCTTTCGCGTCGAGAAAATGCGAATACGTTGAACGGTATTTAAAGTTGGAAAGAATGAAAGGAGATTTTGTTTTGCAATACGACAGTGGACAGGAAGTTGGCAGAAACGCCATCTGGTGGGTCCGTGTCTTAAACGCTAGAATAAAGGTTAGAAGAGTTGTAAGAAAGAGATTGTTCTTCTGAATGATGTGAGAATAATAGCGAGTTAATTTTTCTAGGATCCTGAGCAAAATTTAGATACCGTTTGAATTGTAGAACAAATACATCGAGCTTTGAAAGGTATTTAAAGTTGGAAGGAGTGAAAGGAGATTTTGTTTTGGATACGATAGTGGACAGGAAGTCGGTAGGAACGCCATCTGGTGGGTCCGTGTCTTAAACGCTAGAATAAAGGTTAGAAGTTGTAAGAAAGAGATTGTTCTTCTGAATGATGTGGAAATAATAGCGAGTTAATTTTTCTAGGATCCTGAGCAAAATTTAGATACCGTTTGAATTGTAGAACAAATACATCGAGCTTTGAAAGGTATTTAAAGTTGGAAGGAGTGAAAGGAGATTTTGTTTTTGATTAGGTTAAAAGTTGTATTTGTAAGAAAGAAATTTGTTCTTTTAAATGATATGGCAATGAGTTACGATTTTTTTAAAATCCTGAATAAAATTTAGATACTTTTTTTTAAGGTATCTAAGGTATCTAAAGTTGAAAATTTCGTTTTTGAATAAAGATAGAGTTAACGCCACCTAACCTAGAGTATCTATCTTATATATTGGAATAATAAAGGTTAGAGAATGCATAAAGATGGAATAGAAAATTGGACGAGAATTATCTTTTTATCGATGTTATTTGAATTGTAGAAAAGTCTCTTTTTTCATGTTTTTTTGTCTTGAAGCCTTGAGGCTAAAAGACAGAGATCTTAATCTTTTAGGATATCAATTCACCCAAAATCTTCTCTTAGTCACAAAGGCAATAGAATTGAAAGGGGGGAGGGATCTAAATTCCTCTGACGAACGAAACGATGATTAAAAGGAGGGCAATTTTGATAAATTTCGTGACTGTTTCGTGATCGACGATATCTTGTTTTCGACAGGTTTGAATTGAATTTTCCAGGATTTATCGCGAAAAAAGTTTGGACATGATAGGACTTTTGACATCGCGTTGTATATTAACGGTGGATTTTTAACATTGGACCAGCATTGGCGGGAAACGGAAATTTATAACGTGACGAGAGCCAATCGATCGTCAATTGAGAATTGCATTTTTGCTGATATATCGCGAAACGCTTCGTTATAAATTATCGACGTCCTCTCGTTTCCATGCTTATACTCGTATTTAAAAATCCGCGTGTCATCCACGAATCATCCAGACGGCCATTATATATTCAAAATTTTTTTTCGAAACCTGATTTACTCTTCCGTTTACCAGATATCGATAGTCTTTGTTCTTACTATCGATTATAAATGCACGATCATCCTTCCTATAATTCTTTATCAATTGCCGGATCACACATCCTCCTCCCTTCAATTCTTCCATTTATCAACCCTCTTTGACAGGATTCTGATTCTACGCGAAAGAAAGATTCGCGAGCTTACCCGTTCTCTGGGAGAGAGCATTCATCGAGAACAAAAAAGAGTCGAGCACCCTTCTTCTTCGCCCTTCCTCCAACTTCCTTTCTCGAGCATCATCTCGAAAACCGATAGCGCTACTCGCGAGCAGCGATCAGAGGGTTGGTTCGCAGACCTCCCCTCCCCCTCTCTCCCCGCTTCTCTCATTAAAAATTCACATGGAATTTTATAATAAGTGGGAATTTTAATCAATCGGCCACTCGAGCCGTCCGGAATCTTCTTGCGGGGAAGTCGTAGACAGTCATCGCGTAGACAGAATCAGATCTTTTTCGTCCTCGAAACGGATCTCGAGCCGATATTTTCGCGATTATTTGGATTGAATCTTTTAGCACGCTTTCTCGTTATACACGTTTTTCGTCGCGTGAAATCGAATCGAATTTTTAATCCGAATTTTGTGTGGAATTTCTTTGTTCGAGAAAAGAAGCATTTCTTGATCGAAGTTTCGACGAATTTAATTAGAAATTGATTCTTCGACATCGAAGATAAGAGGAGGAAAAAACGGTCGACGATCATCTTGGGGAAGTCAGGGTTCAAAAGATTGATATTAAAGGAATTAAAGGAGCATATTTTTTTTGATTGGATTAAAAACATCTTCGCCCTCTTTGAAGATTCAAGATTTTTTTACATCTGGTTTTTCATAGCAATTAGGATATACTCCTCTTTGGATTTATCCGATGAAATTATGTAATTGAAAAGATCCACTCTAGATTATTTATTTTTCGTAAATGTCGCATCGTTTGTTCCATAAAATGTACAGAACTTTACTTCGTAATGTTCTCGTTGTATCTATTAAAATTTCATTTGACGTCAGCGAAACGACAAAGTTCACGTTTCATATCCACGTAGTAACAAAATATTGGCTCTGATCTATTATTAAGATCGAAATTTCGAAATAGATTATTATATATATATATATAATATACGTTCCAAAATTAATTATTCAAAATTAAAAATCTGAATCCGTTCAAACCGTGAAAAAATTACAAATTTCTGCATCATAATTTTTTTTCATATCGTCGGGTCACATTCTTGCCTTCCTATGCAATTTCCAGAGTAGAATGACGTGCATACGATATAGCTTACGAAAGGATCATCGCTCAAGCCGAATACAAATGTCCTCTCTGTGTCACCGCTGATAATTCCGTAGCTATAACGCATCGAAAGCTCTGTGCAAATGTTACTTCGAGACCACGTGTTTAATAAAAATTATTGCATTACGTGTAAAAATACGATAACCTCTTTGAAAAGAATCGTTTCAAAAGAATAAATTAAAAAAAAAAAAAAACGAAATTTTCAATCAACAGCGCAACATCTGGCACGTTGTGTTTCCATAATTACGATCACGTTCTCTAGGAACGATCGTCGTGTCGTGTCGGCGAACTTTCATCGAAAACTCCGTCGTCGAGGACGTAGAATCCCGAGATGCGCGGCAACGCACAGTTAATAAATCGACGCGCACACCTAATCCACCGATCGTGTTGTTCCTTCCAACCACCCAACCTTTGTTTCCCTTGCACTTCGTTATCCTCGCTCCCACGTTGTTTTCCATCCAGCTTCGGAAAAGCTGCTCGGAAAATATCGCCCTCCTCGATCCCATATTATTTCCTTCCTACGTACATTGCACTTCACATCTCCTCGTCCCTGCTCTTCCATTCTATCCACTCATCTCTGCGTCTATCCAAGTGCATTGACAACAATATTTTCTTTCGTCTCTTCTCGTATTCTTTCTTTTAAATATATATATATATATATTTCCATTCCATTCCATTTCTTCGCTTTTTTATTCGCTCGCCTCATCGAGTTTTACTAACATTCCAAAATTCTATTTTGCATTTTTATTCGCCCCATTCCGATTCATTACCTTTATCTATATCTATCTTTTCCGTTATTGACGTGCATCGATGACAATATTCCCCCGTTTCATTTTCGTATCCACCTTTGGTCGCGATACATTTCCACTTTTTATTCACTCATCTCCGCATCCATCTACTCTCCTTCCCATTCTCTCTCTTCCACCGATGCAATAACACCAAGGCAACACCCCCATCCTCAGATCCACTTCCTTCATCCACTTCGATCGAATTACATCTCCTTTTTTATCACTTTTCATCCTTTCCATTCTTCCTCCACCATCCATCCATCCATCCTCTCGCCACCACCAACAACAACAATATTTCATCCATCCTTTCCCTCCTTTCACTTTCTCCCCCTGTCAACAACAAATTCCCCTCCCCTCCCCCTTTCCCCATTTCATTCATTCCCCACTCGCCCACACGATCCGCAACACCTTGTGCGCGCATCGAATCCTCTCGTCCCTCCCTCCCTCCCTCCCTCCCTCCCTCCCTCCCACCCCCCTCAACTTCTTCCCTTTATCGCACCATTTCCTTCTGCCCTCCCCTCCCTTCTCGCCTCTCCTCCCCGAAACCGCGGTTTCATTCTCGCTCTTCCACTTCCCTCTCCTCCCACCACCACCCTCCCTCCCCCCGACCGTTCCCTCCTCGCGAGGAACCCCAGTTGCGCCGCCACCCCCTTTTCAGCGAACGAGAGCGCCGGCCCGAAACTCTTCGGTGTCGAGTCAAGCTCCGACACGGTTCAGCCGAGTTCAGTCGCGCCATTCGGCCGTGGTTGTTCACGTGTCGGCCCCGTGTGCACATTTTCCGTGTTCCGTGTTTCCGGCCCCCTCCTCCCAAGGGGAAGAAGGGAAAGAAAAAAAAAAAGGGGAGGAGAGAGAGAGAGAAAGAAAGAGAGAGAGAGAGAGAAAGAGAGAGGAGAGGAGAGGAGAGGAGAGAGAGAGAGAGAGAGAGGAGAGAGGAGGGGAGTGGAAAGGAAGTGGATTCCCGCGTTCGATGGTCCCGATCGGAGAGGCCCGCCACGATCGACGCAAGGTAGATAGATAGATAGATAGATAGATAGATAGATCTAAGAGAGATCCGCTCGAATTTCACCAATATTTGTTTTCATGGACCGCGTGTGCAACGTGCCCCCTCACCCCGTTTATCTTATATATCGTGCATCTTCTCTTTTGTATCTTTTGTCCAGGGATCCTTTTTCTTTTTTTCTTTTTTTCTTTTTTTTTCGAGATCGATTCCAAAATCGAGGTTCTCTGGGGATTCGTACACGTCGAGTNATATATATATATATATATATATATATATATATATATATATGTATATATATATGTATATTGGTATACGTGGTAAGATTTTCTTTTTAAATCTTCGATTCAATACTCGTAATACGAAAGATGGTTTAAGAATCGCAGTTGTGGAAAAAATAATTAAGACGTTTTTTCCCTTCCCCTTTTAATTTTGCCGGTTACTCGAGCGTGGAATCTTTCGCCAAGGGACCGATTTAATTAGATTCATAGGAGGGTTGATGAAAGAGCGTAGATTGCGATCCCCCCGTAGTTTTGGAGGGAAATTGATTTCCGTCCCCGCGCCAACGAATCACGCCCCCGAATCCACCCTCCGCCGTTCCTCGTGGAATCGATTAAAAATCATTTATCGGGTGGCTTGATAATTGGCCCGTTAATCTCCCCCTCCTTCCTTTAATTTCGTGCCGTTCGTTCGTGCGACACGCGTCTCGACGCGTCTTTTTTCTTTTTTTTCACGCGCGAAACCTTGAATATTTCCTTCCGCGAGATTTCGGACACGAAAATTTTTTTTCGCCTGTCGAAATCGAAACTGGCGAAACGATTCGATTAATATTAATGACAAAGTGGGACGACGCTGTATTCGTTAACGATGGAAGCGAAATTGACTTTGCGCGCATTAAACATTTAATTAAACTTCAGAATTTTTCAAGATATTTAATCTATGTTTAACCCGCTTGAAATCGAGTTGATACACACTTTGTGCGCCATACTTTTTAATTAATCCCGTCGTTTCGAAATCACCTAGCTCGTAATTATATGCTTATTATATTTTTCTTAGTTTAATTTTTGAATCAATTATACATCATTCAATTATTCCGCTCGAATCTATTTACCGTGTGTCGATAATTTGTTGTGACAAATATAATCCCTCGATCAGATGGGATGTGATTCCATTTCCAATTATATTTTGGCAAAAAAGAAGAAGGAGAGAGAAAGAAAGTGCTGCTAAAATTCATAGACGGTTTTGCGAGGTTTATGGGTCGATAAACGTGACAATAAAACGGTGGCGATATCGTTCGTCTCGACAAAAGACAAACGAATATTCGAAGAGAGTGATGATAGATAAGAAAATCGCCGATTCGCAATATCTATCGAATTCTTTTGTGTGTCACATTCACGTGAAATATCGAGAAACAATATGCATCAATATCCAAAAGGATATCTATCTGACGATAGATTTTTCAATAATTTTTTGGAATTAAAAAAACTAGTGACGTAATATCAAAGATACACATCCACGTGCAAAAATTTTTTCGCGTATAATTTTTTGCACAAATAAAACTAAACATCGTCCACTTCTTATTTGCGAAAGGATATCGCTCGCCTTTCGACAATTCTTTCTTATTTTTTTCGAGTAAACTTTGCACGCGTATCTTTTGATGTATTATTATTATTATTATTTTCTTTTTTAAAGTAAATTGTATTCCTTTTTTTTCACGCGAGTTGCGAATTGCGGAAATGGATTTAAATATTCATAATTTAGGATGTAGAATCTCCTCTTGGCCTCGTTTCTACACAGGAATGCTGGATAGTAATGTGAACGTGTGTTGCCACGATTCCCGCCATTTTGTACGATTCTAATTAATTCTTGAGAGGATACGCGAAACTTGAATTAATATCGCGCGATTTGGCGCAAAGGGAGAGAGAGATAGAGAGAGAGAGAGAGAGAGAGAGAGAGAGAGAGAGAGAGAGAGAGAGAGAGAGAGAGAGAGGAAGAGAGAAAATTTCGGAAGAAAGAGACGGAAGAAACTTTTCTCGAACGATTTCCGTCTTTCAACTTCCCTCCTTCGTTCATCCACCGTTTTCTTTGTAACCAGCCATTCTTCCAATGAAAATCATAATTGAAAACGTTTTCGTATACTTTTCCAATCCCATTTTATATCCCGCATTGTTTAATTATTGGTTTTTTCGCGAATCGGCGGATGGGAAAGTGGGTCGCGAAGAATTCGCGGATAACATCGATGTATCGAGTAACGTTGTAATTTCGGAAGGGGAAGTTCGGGGATGATATCTGAAAGATTAAGTTTCGAGAATTTCGAGAACCTCTTTGGGGGAGGTTTAATACGTTTTATTTAACCTCATACCTTGTGGATATGATGATTGATTGGAGAGTAATATTTCGACGAGAGAGAAATTCGAAATTGAGATGAGCGATTAAATTGCGAGGGAAAATTCATGGAAGGAATGGAAGGATCAAGTAGATTAGTAAGATAGTTGGTTTATTGAATTTGCTATGTAATTTATTACTTTATCAGATCTGCAAAATTCTAAACTCTTGATTTATTAATTCTGTAAGAAATATCGAGTTTAGGTCGAGTTTATAGCTTCACTTGCTTTAAACTTATTATATTATCTTTATTATATCAAACCTGAAATCCTTAAACGTTAAAGATTAAAATTGGAAATTAATTATCCATATTAAAAGTTCAAAATGATTTGACTATTAAATTCGAATATCAAGTTTGATCTAATAACGTAATAAATTTTCTTACCCTTCTTCGCACAACCCAAGAGTTTTAAGAAGCTCCATTAATCAATTTCTAAAAATATTCAAATTCCCCAGTTTCTATCACCTGTTTTAACATTTTTGTATCTCAAACAATCTCCCCTCTCCCTTTACTTTTTACATTGAAATTCAATTCTGTTCAAACAAACCTGCAACAAAAAAAAATATTAATTTAAAGAAAAAATTCTAAACAAACATCACCCTCCACCACCGTCCATTATAATTACCCCTAGCTTACACCCTAACCACTAAAATCAACTACCCACGAATCGAACCTCCATCATTCTCCATCAAAAATCCCGACCCGGATGGATGATGTGATTCAACTTCATTAGACAGAGAGAAAGAGAGAGAAAAGTCAGAATCCACCACCCAGACGTCGAGGAGCACGACAATTTTTAACCGCCTAGGAAAAAGAAAAACAGAGAGAGAGAGAGAGAGAGAGAGAGAAAGGAAGCCAAGTGGCAATCGAACGAAGCAGGAAGCAGCTTCGTATAAAGCGGTATCGTAATTAATCACGTCGCTTCTCGGCTCGAGACGCCGTTGAAAATGTTGGGAAACAGGGAAGAGGGGAGGGGAAGAGCCGCCGCTTTCCTCCTCAGGTGAAGAGAGAGAGAGAGAGAGAGAGAGCAATTTCTACCGCGCTCCAAACGGCTCTTCAGCCGTTTCATTTCGTTCCTCGCGCCTCCCCTCCCCTCCCCTCCCGCGTTTTCGTTTCACAAGTTAGTTAGGCTCGATTCTGACCCGATAGAGAGGTCGATTCATCGGGGAACAATTTCAATTTCGCCCGGAAACTCGCAACGGTCAGCGTTCCCTGTCCTCCCCATCATCGATACGAGGGGGAGGGAAGGGGAGGGGTTCGGGTTCTTCTAAACGGTCGATCGAACTACTGGCGCCCCCCCCCCCATGCTCGTTTCGTGCCTTCTTGTTGCCTGCGATTTTCCAAATCGATTCACGGTTATTAGTTCGCCCCCTTTGTCCACGGATTGGCGACGAGTGAACGTTTGTCTGTTGTTCGGTGGTTAAGGGTTGGGGGAGGTTGGGAGGGATTGAAATTTACAGAAACTCGTTTGTTACTTCTTTTGTCTCTTCCCTATGTATAGAAAACATTGTCGAGGCGCATTGGTGGGAATTCACACAACAAAAGTTTTTGCGAATTTTTTTGCAATTTTCTTTTTTACTTTTTTACTTTTCCTTATACATACAGTGAGTATATATTTTAGAAAAGGAAAATTCGACGTGTGTTGGTGATTGTGTTGGATTGGATCCATCGGTCGTAATAATACGATGGAAAAATGTATGGAAGATTTTCGATAGGCGAGTTGCGGTTTGGAATGGAAATTAATATTTATCGTTTGACGCGATTGAGTTAATTTAATCAATAATTGTATCAATAATTTGATGATACTCGCGGAAGTTTATAAATGATTTGCATCACTTGGAAACGTCACCTTCAATTCATAACAAATACAATATTTCCAATCTAAATATTTTTCTTTCGAATTAAAAAGTTAGCCTTTATTAAAAATACCTTTATTTTTCGCTACTTGGCTTTTCGCTCTGTAAAATAAAATAAAATAAAATAAAATAAAAAAAGAAAAGGAAGAAGAAGAAAGAGAAAAAGAGAGATGCACCAAAGCGTTATCATATTTCATATACATATATATTTCATAATATTCACGTTTTGTTTAGCAAAAGAAGGATTGAATGCACACTTTTACATAATATAAACGAATATATCCTTCCTCCGTGGATAAAATTCGAACATTTCGAAATCGTTACGCGGATCCCCCTCTAAACTTTTTAAACTCTTTAAAAACGCGGATATAAAAAAAAAAGAAAAAAAAAATCTCTCTAGAGATTTTCTGAGATTAATGTTCGAATAATTTCGATTCTATATTATATTTTCTTTCGCTAATATGTATCTCAAATGATTTTCATTTTCATCGGATTTGCACGAACTTGCACAGACTTTCTTCGTTCTTCGTAATCGAACGAAAATTCATTTCCCCGTCCGAGTCGTACACTTCAACTCTAAAATTATTATCTTTCCTATATTTCGGTTATATAATATTACATCGATTTATCGAATCCGACGAATCCGGAGCGATCTTCGATCTTTTTCGCGACCGGTGACCTGGAAAACTCGCGGCGGAATTTCCATGGATCGTGAATATATACGGAATATTCTACCCATAATGTGTTTTCCTCCGGCTTAATTCCGC